CGAAAAGTGCTTCGCAAAATTAAGAGTCGTAATAAGCAAAATACGATAAATGTTTGTTAAGAAGTTTGTAGTCTAATCACATACGTGTTTGTTAGAACAGACAATTTGAACACAACTAAAAAATGATAATACAGAACTATCCCTAGCTCCACGGAAAATTTCGATCAATCGTGACAAAGTAAGAACATCTCATTTGTTATCAAAAAATTGGTATAATTTTAACAAGAGTCAAACAAAATTTCATCAAACCAAGTATCGAGTTAACACTTAATTTACAATTTAACAGATGAATATGTATACGGTGAAATTAAACATATCTTTATAACTTTTTAAAAAACTATTACTTCAAAAGCAATTTTATTTGTGGGAGATGATTTTTAACTTAATGAATTATTAACAATAAGAAAACCTGATAATATGGATATTACTGAAGCCTTTGCGATATTTTTATTTAAATGAACGTTTGAAAATTCGAATGCATTGATAGTAGGAATTTTAGAAATTTATGAAAAGACAGTTGAAAATGTTATTAAGTCTGGGGTCTAATGGTGTGCTTCGATGTACGCCATAAAATTAGAGATTGATGGTTTTACAACTAACGTAGAGCATGCAGCGCATGCGCAGGGGATGTTGGTACATTTTCGTAAAATTTAAGTAGGCATGTGATCATCAATCTCGAATCTTATTGCATGCATAAAAGTACGCAAGTAGTTTCTAGCTTTTGTATCATTTATCTTATATCAGATGTTAGTCAGAAGTGATTCAACAATACTGACAACACTTTATAATATGAATAGTATGCATGTTGTTATTAAAGAAAACTGACAAAGATAAATTTCAACTGTTATGCAAATTATAGAAGACATTTTATTTACTTGCTCTATCAATGAAATTCTGAAATAAAAATTTGCTGCAGTTTGCATTAAAATAAACTTTGATTCGAGATGCTATATAAATAGTACTCATAATTGTACTCACTTAGCAATGATTCATTTTCGAACAATATACAATTCATTAATTTTTGTGTATAAACATAAATAGTAGAAAGTACGTTAACTTATAACTTATTCCCAAAAATCCGTTCAAAATATCAACAGTGTTGTATGGCTTACAGTAAAGCTTCACTGCATGAAAAATATAACCCACCATGCACGATACTTCAGTGGCAGTGTAAAAAGTTGTGTAATAAACTAAAAAAGCCAAATGAACGTACATATCACTTGCAGTAAGTACTGAATGGGTATTTAGTTATTGATATTATTCAATAAATATTTTTGAATTAAAAAGAATTGAGTTTGAATCTTAAAGTAAACTTTAATAACACAGTTTATGATTAGGATCATTCAAGAATAGTAGTGCTTTTTTCGATCATGCAAAGTATGAGAATAGTTCCAACTATTAAGTATATAAAAAATATTTTTCTTTAAATGCAATGGTGAAAAACATTAATCTTCGATGCATAGTAGAGAAAAAACATTGCACTTTAACTTTTTGCCATTAACGATACCTTAGAAATATTAATGCGTTACCCAATCTTACAGGTAAACATTATAGTTTTTGAAAAGAAAAAGATCTTTTTAGGTAACGTTGGCCTTCGTTTTTAATTTAAAAGTACCACTGAAAACTGCTATGTACGTAGGGATTTTTTCTAGTGCTAAAATTAGTTAAAAAGTAAGAATAACATCATATTTTGCTAAACGGTCTATTCTCAGGCCATAACACGAAAAGTTTAGAGAGGCAACATTACTTAAATGTTTAAACTAGATAATATGTATACATCAAGCATTCAATTCCTTATCTAAAATACATGGTAAGATCTACACATGTTTCGCATGTAGAGTAACTTAATGAAAAAGGATATTATTTCTCTTTGTATAGGAAACACAGAGTTCAAGAGTCTGGAGATCAAGCAGATTCGGGACTTTCGGAATTTCAGATTTTAAGGAGCAGCTTTCTAAAGGTCAGCAGAGTTCTAAGAGGCGAGAATTCACTATGACCAAGTCATCGTTTTAAAAAGTGGTAGTGTGGTATCACCTTTTCTCTGTTCCGGGATCTGCCGGTATACGACCGTATTTGTCATTTCAGTTTTTGGGATATTGTGGAAAATATCAGTTTAAGAAAATCAGAGATCTGATACAGCTCACTATTCTATTAAGAAATGTGCAAGTCATTTTTAGGAAATACGTACAGTTATAATTCGAAAAATAAGAGTATTTGGCGAAGCTTTCTGAAAATTCATAGATACTGGCTCCCTTCAGGTTTTATAAAATCTGTTTAATGGAATTAACAAGCCTGCTAAGGCATACAATTTCCCTAAAGCACTGATCATTGGTACGTACATGGTCTTAGGATTACTCAGTAGAATTATTTTGGACTCAGCGTTTGGTTCAGTAATAACTCCGAATTTTACGACCTCAAGTCAAGTGATGCATATAAAAATGTTCGTACATAAGCCACAGAACAATTGGGACTTTGTTACTAACTCAACAAAGATCACACTAATTTGGACTATGAAATGGAGATTTCTACATTTTTTCCCCGTATTACCGCGAGAGCCTACTAGTCTAGTCAGCGGGGCAACCCCTCCACCACTTATATGTAGGAGTGTATTTCCACACCCATTTACCAATCAGCTGACACCATGGGCACAGTAAGAGTTTCTCCAGTGGGATTCGTTACTATACACCGCATCTTGCCAGTTAAGCTTGCACTCTCTGCACCAATGGTTCATCAGGATCACTTGTTACTACGTACCCTTTTTGCGAAGAAGACTCCATATCTTTGTCATCCACTCCTTTTTAGTTAAGCCAACGCTCTCTTTCAAAGCATCGGATCCAAACTAGTTAAGGCGGCTCCTCACTAAATCAAAACACTGGAGTATTAAATGATATTTTAAAGGATGATTCTTGAAAGTGCAAGGAGACTTTTCCCAAAATTTTAGACCTCGTCACCACCAAAATTGTTGAAAAAAACTAACTGGAAAATAGACCCTGTAACATAGCCTCTTATGGAGGGTCGTCAAATTGGTGGCGCAGGTTGTATGATATCTCAGCAAAGATACTGTAGTTCTTAATAGAAAACTATGTAGCAGATAGAAGAAATCAGAATCTTTCTAACGACATTCAGGTACTTGGACATCACCATGGGTTTTATAGGATATTTTGTGAAAATAGTAGATAACTGTGCAAGTCACGGACACAGAGAAAAAGTGTGGGGCGTCTGCTACACCGAAGAGCGGTAGCCCGCGTAGTTTGAATTGGTCAGAAAGTTGTACGTAAAATTAATAGGAGTTGTGGGGAATCGTAATTATAATAAAAATAAATGAGACGCTGAACTAAGAAAATAATTTAATGCGGGGCTGACTTATGTACTTTTTTGATTTGTATACATACGTCTGCTCGGGTCACTGTATTGTACGATATAGTCAACGGTGTAGATGTGACTAAACTTTTTTTGAAGGGACTATAGGTACCTATCCATTTTTAGTCAAGAACCTCCACAGCCAATGAAAAGCTGTGTTGCAGTATGCTTACTCTTCTTGTGGGATTTATAGTGAGGAGCCACCTTAACATCCCCAGAGAAGCCCTAAGCTTCAGGGATCACTTCTCGCCAGTAAAGCCATCGCTCCCTGCCTGACACCTGGCATTGGATCCACTAATCCCTACCTAGCCTAAACACTATTTCATATTCACCCAGCCTCGGGGTGAGAAAGACCTGTGGGGCAAGGAAAAAACTGTAAACCACACTAAATAGAAACTCTACCGAAAAACCCACCCCAAAACAGCCGGGGCTCATGGTAACTTTTTTTGATGAAAATAGTTTTTTTTTAAATCAGCACTCATCGGGTTCGAACTTATGACCCCTAGAACGATGTTGTATCAGTACTAAGCACCTTAATCATTTAGCCAACACCGCTCCTATATCTATATTTTTATGATATTCTAAATGATCTTGTGACAGAGAATAGGCCTATCAAGAGGCCTTACAATACACTTTTGTTGCTTGCGTTCACCGTGTGTAAGTAATATGTAGATTATTAATTGAGTGAACTGAGAGTTACTTATAAGTAAGACGTAATAATGCTTAGAGTTTAACGTGTACTACACACTTAAATTCATATTCAATTCTACTTGCTATGATACATAGAGTTTATGATGATAAATGATAATAGTTCTGAATGAAATGCTATGTATCGAAATATGTCATTATGTAGTTTGAATATAAAATGTTAAGAGAAGTAGAAAACTATGTAAAGAATACACTTTAAATTTATCTTTTATCAAAAATAAAAGGTAAGTTAAAAATAAGAAGTTAGTTTTTTGTAATGAATTGAAAAAATTGTTAAGATCTCTTGAAGCCCAGATGGAGTTAAAATTAATTGTATACTTTTGAATGAATGGTAGAAGACTGTAGAGTTAAAATGTAGACAATGAAATTGTCTAATCTAATTTACTTCGGGTGCAGTATAATTACCTTACGATACTCGTAGTGCTATACAATTGAGTACTAGTACATAAACAAGATTAAAATGAGTAATATTTATTCATTACTGTACTGTATACAAACCTTACATAGCTACACTGTGACCCTGTAAACAAATTTGTTAACTTCAATTACTTTATGCATAACACTAAACTTGGGTATGTGCACAAAAAACGGATTTTTGGGAATATTTTTGTCGAAACTAAGACCCCCAAAAATTCAAGCAGAAGAAAATTTTTTATTTAACATTATTAGCTTGTCATTTTACATATATATAGTAATACATTTACAATTGTATTTACGCCATGGGCACGTCGAAAGGTTCGAATATTTCCTCTATCTTTAGGTACCTAGCAACTACTCTACCAGTTACTGGGTACTGTCAAGCATAGTATTCCCTTATAAAATGTCAAAATTAGGCCAAAAATAAAAAAGTTTGTTGAAAAGTTTTTGGAATTGACTGTAATAAAATTACAGTGTAACAAAATGAATATAAAGAAGCGTAAATGTTTATCTACCTTGTTAAATGAAGAAGCATATTTACGATGATACTGTTCATATCTTGAAACGGTAGGCGTAAGGTATTGTACTTTATTTGATCTATATTTTCATATTTGTTGTTCATATATACGTTACACATATCTTGAAGTGCTTGATTTTCAGCTGGAAATACGCAAGTTGCATGTTCAATAAGTTTCCTAGTTGACAACAGAACATTATATGGAGAAGTAACAACATCTTGTGTATTGGCAGGATATATACAGGAATCAAATCTAAAATTTATTTTAAAACCATAAATAATAGACACAATTATTTTTAGATATAAAATTAAGAACTTATTACATAAGCCACAAAAAAAGACATGAAGACAAAACAGTACAGTGTGTATACTGTGTTTATCAAGTTGCTGAGTACGAATCTCAGCTCAGGATTACTTTATTAGTCTAATTTTAGAATCAGTCTTAATTTTTAGAATATGAAAAAAACTCAGTTAAATAAAAAGTAAAGGGATTTATTCTGACAGTATAGTCGGATGTGTCTCACAATGTAGCGACTGCTGATTTTAAGTCATGAAACACATTTGCTTTTTTAGAATAAATTTTGTCTCTTACCTTAAGAAATTATAAAAATCTGCTTATTTATTCCCTCATAGAAATAACTATTGAAAAATCAATACACTCTATAAATAAAGGATGCAGGGAGCATCTCTTATTCATAACTTTAAAAATTATTATGAAAAACATTGTTGGTAAGCCATTAGATCAACTGAAAAAACTATCTTTTGAAGATCGAAAACTTAGTGTTAAGGTTCAGTGAGTATCAACGCGAAATAAATAAATATATCTCCAATTTAACATTTATTTCTATAAACAGCATCAGCATACAGGCTTTTTTGATTCAAAAATATAATTTATGTAATTGTATAAACTTAAATGCATATTTCAATAATGAAAATGAAATACACTTTTTAATACAAGTAATTATTGTGTCAGAATACCTGACAATATTAAAAATCATATAAAAATTAAACTTCAAGCCCAAATAACTTTCGAACCAATAAACTTAACGAAAAATCAGAAATTAACTTTTTGTAGAGCGTTGAATTTCATACAAAAATATGTATGATTCATTATTATAGATCCACGTATCCCCAAATTTGAAAATACTAAATACTAAAGAAAATCTTTTTCATGTTTTCCTATGAGAAACTTAGGTTGGAATAAGGACTATCTAAGACTCAATATTAGGAGCTCAAATTTCGAGAGAACTTTTTTTTAACAACTTGGAACCCATGGGAGCAAAGACATTTGAAAACACTCCTGTTAAGAAGTACCATTACACACATACACGTGCACATGTATGCACAAATGCACACACACACACACACACACACACACACACACACACACACGCGTGAGGTTTCGTCTTCCTGCACGCTCCACTTACCAACTGCCACTACCAGATAATGGTAACATGTAGGAGCATTGTACTTTTACTACAAGTTTCTTATTGTATGATACAATTTGAGGATTTTTCTAAAAAATAAAATGAATTTAATTTTAATAATAAGAATTAACAAATTGTGTTAAAGTCGTATTTGTAATTATTTCAAGTAGTTAATACAATTTATCACGTTGACTTTTTTTACTCATTTATATAAATAATTTTTAAACTTTTGAAATGTTGTGTCTTTAAAAAAATATTTGAATTTTTTATCATTTGTCTTGCAAATGCTCATAAAAATTATGAATTCTCATTACTGAGTACACTCTTACGGGGACAGCTCTTAAGTTTTCGTGAATTTAATAAATTTATTCAGCATTGTCATTCATTTGTATCATATGTAGTTACAGCACTTTTCAAACAACAGTTAGTTAAGTTACAGTCAAAGTGGCTAAAACGAAAAAATAGAAAACAACACTGTTTATGAAGGGTGCCAAAATCGTCACTGCTACAAAAGCCCTCACAATAGACATAAGTTGCATCAATTTCTTATAGACGAAAAGCGACAATCTGTTGGAATTGCGAATTTAAGTATTAAATTGGCTAAATCAGTAAATGCGTGCTCATAAAGTTTGAATTAATATTAAGTAGTCTGGTAAAAACATATGTCTCCAAATGCATACTTAGGTTTATTTACGTATGTATGTATGTGTTTATGTATGTAATTAGTTGTCACGTACATGGATCATTCTACGAAAACCGGCGTATTGTAAGGGGCGAAACAGACAAATACTTACAATGGATTTTCAACCCTTCTAATATATTGACCGTATAGTCCATAACCAGAAAAAATTTAAACATATTTGGGACCCACTTAATTTGTACGATAAAAGTTTTACAACTTTCTTAATTTAAATGACGTTATCTTCAGAAAATTACAAGCGTTACGAGCTCTCATAAAATTAAAAAAAAAAAAAAAATTAATAGTGTGATAGATTAAATAAATATTGAACTTTGTCCTTGAACTTACATCATGTACTAACAGTGATATTCAGATTTATCCCTTTTTGAATCGATAATTTAAAGCCTTGCAAAGATATACTGGATTGTTGAACGTTACAGATTCAAAAATTTTGTTTTAGAGAAACTGAACATAATGTGTAGTCCAAGTCTGGACGTAAGTGCGAGTGTCTAATCGAGGCCTACCGGTGTAACTTATATTTTTATGCTATTTGACCCCTAAGTATAAAAAGTAAAGGTAAGTAACCTAACGTTCAATTGTTATCAATAAATTTTAATAACGTATTTGAAAATGCTACTTACTGTAAAAAAAAATTTAACTTTTTCATAGCTAAAATTTCAAAACTTGGACAAGTCATGAATTTTTACAATTTCAACTATGCATAACAAAAACCTGTGTGCTCTTGTTACAAGCGTTCAATGAGTTGCTCGTCATTATTTTTGGTACTTGAAGCTTTTCTTATAGAATAGAAATTCATTGTTGCAGAATATTAACTCTTACTGAACCTTCACTATCTGTAATGTAAGTTACAAAGATATGTGTGCGAATATTTTTATCAAAAAATATAAATAATATTTTTTCTAAAATTAACACGAAAAAGCTTTTTATATTGTATATGTACAAAGTAAGTTCTTTGATACTACATCTTTTAGATTGGATCGAACGATAATTCATACCTAAATCTATAAAAGTTAAAATACACTTGCTATTGTCGGTGATCTCATACCACATTGTAATGGTAAGAGTTACGTTAACAGTTGGATTCGTGCAACACTGAATTTTCATTCCATATAGAAAACTACAAGTCCCAAAACTAATACCAAACGATGTGTTGCGTGATAGTATCAAAAACACACGTCCGTTTTTTTATACTACAACTGCTATAACACATAGAAATGCAAATGTTTTTCTATCCAAAACTGTGTGTTAAAAAAAAACAGATAAAGCTATTGCTGCGTTTCCAACGATTTTTATTTTGTGAGGTCTAAAAAATTGTGAAAAATCATTTATAAAAATTCATGTATCTGTTACAAAAAAGTATGACCCCAGAGGTCAGGCGGTGCTTTCTCGGTTGATACTTACATGTTTAAAAATTTTAATCACTTATGGCTATCGTCAACACAATGAAAAAAATTGCTTTGGCAGGAAAAAGCCTTTTGGCAAAGATGAATAATTTGAAACAAAGAATTGCCCTTTAATTAAAACACAATAACAAACGAAAGTTTGTAACTGAGTATAATGTATAAAAATGTTAAAATATAATTAAATAATAATAAAAGTAACATACGAAGAAGTTGAAGATCAAACTCTATTCCAAGGGGAAAGGTTAGCTATCATAAGCCATTGCTCAAAATTTCTGGGATTTCTGGCCAGGCATATTTGCGTTTTCGTCGTCACAAAGATCAGTCTTAAGAAAAACGTTTATAATGTGCTCAAGTCAAGGAGGTAAGAAAAAAAAAAAAAAAAAGAGTCTGAATCATTCGACTGTTACTACTAATACACTAAACAGTGATTATAGACTATAAAAAAGAAGATTTTTAATAATGTCTAGTCCAAATTTTGAAATCTTATGACTTTTTTAGCTTTTAGAATTTTTTGTCCCATGACTAATATGCTCAGGTACATAAATTCCAATTAATTTTTTACCTAAAAATATTCCAAAGAATATTGGTGTAGTTTTTTTTCAGAGCAAAATATAGCTTTGATTAATTTATTATTAAAATTCGTTAATAAAAATTGTACGGCAACGATTCAAGTGAGCCATTCGTGATTTTCGAATTTAAGGGGTCAAAACGTTGAGAATCAAATGAGGTAGATCTGTGGACCACGATCAGCCAAGCTCCCATATAGTTGGATCTTTATTGTTAAAAATTTGCGCGCCTGTAGCACTGGTTTATTGTGGTGAAGAAATATGAAAAAATTTTAGCAACATACTCAACCTTTGTGGAATACACAAAATCTGAATTACAATGCCTAGATTCACTTGTCAATATTTGCGAAAATATTTTACTAGAAAATATTAAACTTGTTAGATTTGGTTACAGTTGAAGACTTATACAATGTTTTTAGTTAGCGAAAACAACAATTACTTTGAGATTCTATGCTACTAGAAAAATTTAAAAATTCATATTTTTATTCCAAGTGGCACAGTTAACATTTTAAAATATTATCTCATCTTTCATAAGTTTTAGGAAAACTTTATTTATACATTTTTTTTATTTTTTATTATCAGGTACCAAATTTAAAAATCATGCTCATACCTTAATTTTTTGTCAAATTATCACCAAAAATTGCTGCTCTAAACAGTAGCAATGTTGTTCATTCCATTTTGACACACGAAATTATTCATATTCGATACGCTTTTAACAGATTCATAAAATAGATATCTAGGCTATAAAAATGAGCCCAATTTGAACTGTTTTTAATAATGTTGATAGTTTAACTTTAAATTACATATCAAAAGCCTTTTTTAATAAATAAATAGAATTTTTTTTAATTAATGGATATTTTTCCAAGAAAAATTCTTTTGTTAGTTGAAAATAATAACCCTTGTAGCACATCGTGAGTTTTGAGAAGCAGGCACGTGCGTTAGAAGTGCACGTATCTGCTTCTGAAAACTTATGTTGTGCTACTAGGAAAGATACAAAATCCAAAGAATTTCAAGTTTAGTATTTTTCCGTTCATATTAAAAAAAATATTTGAAATATTCAGATATTTTAACATGTTTGGCGATCATTTAAATACGTAAAAGACGTAATTAAATCAATCAAGAATGCTTCTTATAATCAAAACTGATCATACCAGCTA